GAAAGAGCCCTGAAGCAGTTTACTCCACCATTTTGCCTCAAGCCATTTAGTTTCCAGGAACTGCTTTCTCACCTTTTCTTTATCTCTCGGTCCAGGCTTGCAATCCACACTAGAAAGCCTGGACATACCGGAAGCTAGGAGGAAGGCAGTTTAAGAAAGTTTCCCCCAGTAGTCAAGAATTTAGTTACTCTAACAGTGGCCAACATACTCTTCTCTGTGTTACTGAGGGGCACAGAGCCCAGTCCACTGTAATTCACTTTAAAACCTCGTGCCAATTGACTCTTTGGCTCCAAATCTTTGAGTTAAAAAATAAGATAACTGCCGGCTTTTTATGAGATAAGTAGGTAGTAAGCTATTTTAACGGAAAGAGCTTCAAAATGCTTGATTATAGGCTTTTCAAGTTCAGAGGTCAAATGTTTGTCATTTTTCCCCCTATAGTAACTGTGACTTTGCTTTGCCCATAACATTTACTCAGGATGTATTTGCTTAATTGAGTTAAAAACTATTGCCTATGCCCTTTGAAATTCTGGACTTTCAACAGAGGGCCTCTAACTAGCCTAATATTTGCTCACCAAACTGGACATCATTAAATGATCTGGATAGAGGCAGAATTGCCTCTTAGGGTCTGGAGAGACTGGGCCAAATTAAAATAATCCATTCCCTGATTACACAAAACTGAAATAGAATTGTTTGGCTCTTTCTTTTCTCCTTATCTTGCAAAATCAAATTAAACACTGGTGGAAAGAAATAGTTCAGAGAAGAATATGGGAGAGGGGAAAAAATCCAAAATGTGATTTCCAATGTGACTAGAGATTTGTTTTTTATCTTACATGGTCATGTTATTCATTTGATAGCATCTTTCTCAGGGGTGTTATGTTATCTCTTGGCCAAGACTTATGAAAGTTAAGATTTGAATTGATTGGAAACGTTTTGCAGAAGTATGGACTCCTGAGAGAGTGGAGGTTGTGAAAAGTGTCTATGGCGGGTGCGTTTGGGTCTCATTATACACCCTGCTTGAACTGATGTCACTGGTGTAGGTTAGGCCAAGTCTCGGATGGGCTGCTCAGTATAGTGGATGACTAGTTACCAAGAACCTTTGGAAAAGGAAATGGCTTTATTGAAGAGGCCATTCTTTAAATTTATCTTACTGCTCAATTTAACCTTTGCTTACGCTGTCATTTATGGAAGGCCTGCTCATCTTTCCTCTCAGGCCCAGCACCAGCATTTGCCTGCAGGCTTCTCCCTTGCCAACTTAACTTCCTTCTGCTATATCTTATTCCCTGCTGCTATTTGCACCTTTCAAAACAGATAAATGGACAGATTAAATTCAGTGTTCTTGTTCCCCTCTTATCTTTTTAACTTTGACACCATATCTTTGGGATATTTTGTACCTTTCATTTCATGCCTAAAAAAATAATGCCTGGGAATTTTAGGCTCAGTACTAGGAAGAGATGGAATATGGAATCACTAAACATGGATCACAGGAGAATTTTAGGAGCAATGAGCCTTTGAGCCCCCCTCAAATAGGAATGGCACTGACTCTCCCACAGGCTGTTTTCTCTTCAGTGGCTTGTTCCAGCCCAGGCCCTTCTTTAAGAGAGCCTCCTGAACCCTGTAACTATGAATATGCTAGAACTGGGGTGCTTTTTTCCTGAAGGCACTTTGAGAACTGAATGGACTTTGGAAGTTCCCAGTGTTTGACCATTACCCTGATGTGATGATCACACTGGGTGCATCATTGTCACATGATCTCATGTTTGTTGATGAAAATAAACAGAGAGTGGTTTTCAAGAACTATTTTCAATGCCATGGTTTGTCATAAAACAAT